CCTGGTAAGTCTGTCTTGCTAGTAGGTTAACTAGCAGGGGTCTGTAATAATATAATTATCATGATCTTTAATTATTTATTTTATTTATTTAATCCTTTATCTGTTTCTGCTATTTCTCTATTTTCTTTATTATCTTTAATAATTCAGCCCTGTTTCTACTCTTTTATCTATAAATCTAATTAAATAACTATATTTACTTTATTAATAATTTTATTCTATTCTTAATACTTTTCTTCTCCAGGATAATCTCTGTTCAGACTATTTTTTTTTATTCAGCTAGCCACTGCTCTTTCCACTATCTGAATAATTCTAGAATTTTTATATAATAACTTCTTCAACACTTCTTCCATCATCTGATTATGTTATATTATATATTATAAATAAATTTCTTATATTATAAATATCTGATACCTATTAATATCTATTATCTTAATTAGTTCCTGTTGTATACTAGCTTTTGAAGAAGATAGTTTCTTTATTTTAAGATTTCTAAAAGATCCCTATTTCTTATTTCTAACTTTACTGTTATATTAATATAAAATAATAATTTATAGCTGGATATACTGTAGACATGTTTATATAAATTTAAATAAGTTTATTATTAACTCAGCTAAATCTTTTGTAAACTGTTTTAATCCCAGTAATTTATCTATAATTATTAAAAATATATCTATTATAATTATATTATATAGTTTAAGTTTTAATATCTCAAGGATTTTCTTTAATTACCCCAGTATTAGCAATTATTAAACTATTTACTTATATTCTAGTATATTAAATAGACTGAGATTAAGTAATAGAATCACTGGGAAATCCAGTTATTTATACAGTAATTCTTTTTAATTCTGAAAGCTTATCTTTGAGATTCTATATTTTATCTAGAATTCTTATCTGGCCTGATAGAGCAGGCAAGATTTATCTATTAAAAATTAATATTTTTATTATAAATTACTAAATCTTTCTGGAATTATTTCTTGAATTAAATATTCTATAAAACAAGACAAGTCTTGCTTGAGATAAGATATAAATAAATTAAAATCTTTTAAATTTCTTATTTTTTTTTTTTTTTTTAGTTTGACTGCTGCGAGGTGCCTGATAAAAATATTAATATAATTAATTTTTATATATAAGATTAGAAGAGGTATTTTTTAATTTTTTTAATATTTATATTCTTTTTTTCTATTTTATTACTAACTTTATCTTATATTTTTTATATTTAAAAAAAGTTTTTATTATTCTGAATACAGGCAGCATTATATATTCTAAAATCTATAAATTGTTATTTAATATAAACTAATCTTATCTTTAATCTCTATTATTTATAGAATCTTTAATTATTATTATTTTGACACTACTTTATTCTCTAACTATTAGTAAATTCTTTTATTAACTTAATTTATTATATATTAAAAAAAACACCAAGTAGCTGCAAATAGTAATAAATAATTTAATTATTATAACTCTATTACTATAACTGGATATTATTATATTAATAAAAATATATTTTTAAAATATTATATATTCTATTATTAATTATCCTGATATAAATAACTCCAGAAATAAGAACTAGAAATTATTTATTTTAAAATATATATATTCAGAATAAGTACAGCTCTTAAAAAATTCTGGATTAGAAACAAAGAAATTTAATAAATATAAATAATTTATATAATAAATTTATATTACAGGATATTATTATATCATAATATAATTTTTAATAATAAAATCAGAATAAATATTTATAATAAATTATAATTTTATTTATACCAAATCTTACTAGTCAGAGTCTTTATATTTTTATTTACTCTGTCAAAGTATTATATATTAATTATAAAAACAAAATCTTCACTTAGCAGATATTTATAATACTCTTTAAGAATAATTCCTCTTTAAAAATTTATCTAATATTTTTCTAAATATCTTATATCTCTGATAATTATTATTATAATTCTTAAAGTAATCTTTAAATATTACTATATTATTATTATCTATCTTATTCTACTTGTTAATTTCCCTCTTAAATTAATTATATATTATTATATTAAACACGCAGCCATGATAACAGAAACAATCTTTAATAATATTATAATAATATTTATTTAGTTTTACAGCTTATTAAATTAAAGATTAGTTTTTATATTCTTAGAAAAATTTATTATAACACTGAGCAGAGAGATCCCTGACATTAAAGTAAATATAAATTTAATATTAAGTCTGTAATATAATATAGTAGAAATACCTCCGTGTAATTAATATAGTGGCTTAAATTATTAAAATTATTTTATAACATAATTATTAATTATTATTCTGTAAGCTCTTCCTCATTATAAATTTTTTTTTTTTTAAATAAGATTTACTTAACTGAGTCTAGTTATTTATTTATTATTACTTTATTACAAAGACTATTCAGAGCAAAATATCTCTAGATAATAAGATTACTGATTATCTTTTATATAAAGTCTTATTTTCTGTAACAATTAAGACTAAAGCATGAATATAACTAGATATAATAATAATTAAAAAATAAATAAGATAGCCCATACAAGCAGCCAGATTAAAGAAGATTTTTATATCTAATAATTAGCTATGGATCTGGTAAGGCTAAACAAGTAATAAATCTCTTAATTCTACTAGAAGCTTATTATACAAAGATAACTGCTTATCAATTTTAATATATTCATTTAGTATCAGATCTTTTTTTTTAAATAAAAATAATATAAGATTATTCTTAATACCCAAGCCAGGTGGCTTATTCTAGTTAAAAAAATATTATTTATAATAGAATAATCTAGTTATTAAGATCAGAACTATCAGGATAATATATTATAATAATTATAAAAATTATAAGATTATTAATAGCAGCCCTACACCTTCCTGATATCTATAAGATACTGATTATTCTATAATAAGCTACTAATCTTTTAAGAATTAGTTTATCTCATGCATATAGACTATCTTTATCATTATTAAATAAATATATAATATTTAGTAGCTGATTCCCTACCTAGTCAACAGGCTTGCTACCCTGACAAGTAGATCCTATCACAAAAATATTGGATTAAAAATTTAGCTATCTCACCAGAGTAATTACTGAAAAAGAACTTGATCCGCTGAAGGCACTGATCAAACTGGCAAAGTCTACTATAGTGTCTGATGACGAGTAAGCCAACCATTCAGGTCGGAGAGTTCCCTACTCACAGCGATCATGTAATAAAGTCATTTGCTTCGAGTTGACGACCGAGTAACTCGATGTTAAGCGTTATCTGCTGACTGTAGATCACCGCGACGAAACTTCCGATACAGATTGTACCTTTAAAGGGTATACACACGTTGATCGATAAAGATCCCCAGTTCCGACGTTTTTGGCAGCCTTATCCCGGTCTTAATACCTTAGTACTCATATCGTCTCGCCATACGGTTCATTTTGGTCAATACCAGTTCTACGGGGAACAGTCTTACTCTCGTCTTCCCTGTCCAAGGGACCGTCGCACAAGGCATTCTCTTCCGATAGATATTGTAACACTGGAAATGGGAAGTGTAATTTTCCTCCTTCGGCCGAAATGCGGGGCGGGTTACTTCGGGGGTGTATGGGTCCCCAGGTCGCCAGGTCATACGTATTTTTAGTTCTTACCAGTATGGGACCTGGTTGTTACTAGTACTAATTATCAGAAAAATTAAACTATAAAAATACACTGTCTCACCAGGTGGTAAACCTAACAAGGTCTTGTATTTTTAGAAATTTTAATTAATTCTTATTAAAAGATCTGGTAGTTACTAATTAAGATTAAAAAAATCTAACCTGGGGAGTTTTGGTTATAAATTACTGTATAAATATTAGAATATATTAATTTTATAAATATATTAATTATATCTAATTATTTCTAGTAAATACTAATTTAAATAATATTGATAGAATATAAATTTATTAAAATATACTAGAAATAATTAGATATAATCAGGAATTTTATCTTATAATCTGATATATTTAAAATAAAATTAATAAATTTATATATATATTTATATATATTTATTTATATTATATTAATAAAATATTAAATTTACTAGTTACTAATATCTACTAGAAATGATTAGATGTAATTAGAAGATTTATATTATAATTTAATATATTTAAAATAAAGTTAATTAATTTATATATATATATATATATATATATATATTTATTTAAATTATATTGATAATATATAGATTTACTAATATCTACTAGAAATAATTAGATATAATTAGAAAATTTATATTATAATCTAATATATTCAAAATTAAGTTAATAAATTTATATATTATCAATATATATATATTTAATTAAATTATATTGATAATATATAGATTTACTAATATTTATTAGAAATAATTAGATATAATTAATATATTTATGGAATTAATATATTCCAATATTTATACAGTAATTTATAACCAGAGTTCCCCAGGTCATAATTTCAATCAATTTTTTAATTCTAATTAGAATTTCTAGTAAAAATTAGTAAAAATACTGTAAATACAAGACCTCGCCAGGTTTACCACCTGGTAAGACAGTGTATATTTACAGCTTAATTTTTCCGATAGTCAGTATTAGTAATAACCAGGTCCCATACTGGTAAGAACCAAAAATACGTACGACCTGGCGACCTGGGGACCTGACGACCCTTACTTCGGTTTAGGACCGAGCCATTAAGCTTACATATGGTACGTATAAAACCAGAGGTACAGAAACCATGGGTACAATGTGCACGGGTAACTTGTATGTATGGATATGACAAACATGGGTGTGAGAAACTTGGGCGTGAGAACTACCACAACCGAGAAACTGCTAACAGTTTGAAATATCTAGAATTCAGATAGCTGTCATAAGTTCGAATCTGGCCCACCTTAAAATATTGCTAAGTTGTCTCGAACGCTATCGCCCCTAATTTACTCCCTGCGGGCACGTTCAGAACCCTTTCCGCTCTGAGACCGACAGAATCACACAGCTATAGGACGGTCAAATGCCATTCTTACCCTTCTCTATTATCCGTGGTTTGAGGAGAGAGTTGGATGGTACAGACGCTGAAATTCTGACCTGGGGATGTGAAGGCTATATCGACTGCATAGAGCAATGGAGTGAAACATGCAATACACTTGTGGTAATTTGCTCCTGACGAGTTTTGCTTGGCCGTGAATATTGACCTTTTGCAGGGCGCGATGGTCCGGGTCACATCGGCCGATGAAGCAGCCATAGTCGTCCGTTTTGCCACACGCCATGACGTTCCTTTCGCAGTCAAAGGAGGAGGTTATTCTACCAGCGGCGCATCCACAACTCATGGCGGTATCGTGTTAGACCTATGCAGGCTTCGGGAGGTCTATGTGTATCCAGACTCCTTGGTTCTCGCGGTCCAAGGTGGGGCGCTGTGGAAAGATGTAGATGTTGCAGCCGCACAGTATAAGCTCGCAGTGGTCGGAAGCACACTTAACCAGATTGGAGCTGCTGGAGCAACATTAGGAGGAGGCTATGGATGGTTGACCGGCGAGTACGGTCTCGCGATTGATAACTTACTTTGGGTGAGGTTGATCTTGGCCGATGGCACTATAGTGATAGCATCAGAAGAGCAACACCCAGACTTGTTTTGGGCCATTCGGGGCGCCGGTCAATGCTTTGGAGTAGCTGTTGAGTTGGGCCTCCGAGCGCACATACAAGATCACCATGTATTTGCTGGTACTCTCCTCTTCAACCCGGACAAGTTACCTACGCTTGTCAATTTCGCCAATCAGTTCGAGACTATCACCGACGGTAGGCAGGGTTTCTGGTTTGGTTTCGCTATGCAGCCGTCTATGACTGAATGCTCCGTTTTGGTGGTAGTTTTCTATAATGGCACTCAGGCTGCCGCACAAAAGTTTTTTTCTCCGATTTTGTCGCTCGAGTCCTTAAAGAGTGGAACGCAGATGCTCCCATACGACAGCCTCAACGGTGTACTAGACAGGGCGAGTTTTGTGGCGCACCGAGGACACCGTTCAAGGGTCGATATCAAGTATCCTGCCGATATGAGAGTGGGTCCTCGAAAAAGCCTTAGAGGTTCAAATATCACGCTTCCTCTGGATGTCGCTTTTGTGCTGTCAATATACGAGGCATTTGATAGTCTGTTGAAAAACTATCCGCAAACAAGGGACAGTAGGCTGCTTTTTGAGCTCTTGCCGAATTTACAACTTGCTAAAGTTCCTAATGATGCCACAGCCTATGCCAGCCGCGGTCATTACTACAACGTCAGCACCCTCTTTGAATGGAATGAAGCACATCTTGATGACAAGATCCGCGCGCTACAGAAGAATTTGATGGACCGGATCGGAGTACTCGCGGGGATTGAAAGGCAGCCGAATTACAACATGTCCGAACATGGAACCGGGCTATATGCGAATTATGCTGGTATGTTACAGGGGGTTGACTCCTTCATTTACTGTCGTTGATGCTTAGATGTGCCAAGAGGGCCGGATTAACTTCTCATCATCTATAGGTCATGATGTGCCGATCAAGCGAATTTTTGGAGAGAACCTTCCCCGTCTGCGAGAATTGAAGAAAAAGTACGACCCACATAATACGTTCAGGAAATGGCACAATCTTAACGCGCTTGTCGATTCTCCGGAATGACGCTTCGGATATATTGATCAGATGATTTCTATGCGCAGGCCGTCCACTTTTCAAATCGCTTTTTTAATCTGCGGTCAGCCGATATGACGTTGCCTCCCTTAGATGTATTAGTATTAGATGCTGAAGTAGGTTCTACCAAAAGTAAGGAGCTATTACTCCGTGTGGTTAGTCGAAACTTGCTGATATGCAAGGCTGGTGTAGTTGTTGAGGAAATGCGTCGCGCTTCAAGAACATCAGCCAGTATCCCTTGATAACAGTTCCCGTTTCGATAAACGCATCCCGGCATATATCATTGACATGTCTATGCCTGTATATCACACATGTGCGGCCCACAGATAATTTGAGAAAGCACGCCGGCATTACAGCGCGGCTGTGGCCCACGACGGGCTGGGAGCGCGCTTTTCCATGCACTCTGGTTTCTGGTACGAAGGCTACAGCCCGCTCTTCTGCGACTACCTCAGCAACACTACCAATACCCCGGCGGCACACGACCATATCCGCGGATATAATCCGAAACAGGGAATTGTTGAATAACAATAAGTGGAGATGCTGGCGTACGAATAGAGTATGGGAATTTCACATAAGCTAGAATTGAGGTCTCTCGCTCAACGTCCTTGCAACCTCCGATGCTGTCTTACGGTTCGTGTGGGCCGCGCCGTCACGGATGTGTGGAAGGAGTTAGTGTTTCTGAGCTGCTTGTGTGACAATCATTGCTAAAAGAATATGCCCTCACCAGAGGTAATGGGCAATTTGACCGCGCTGGGCAAGCAGCTGGCCCAGACTATGCGAACTGTGACTTTCTAATGTCCAGGTCAGCTGAAAGGGCTTGTTATGATGTCATGCGATAGCTACATGTAAAATAAGGAGAATCACTGGCGTCTGGATGCGTTTGGAAGACTAGATATTGCGGCTGTGCCAAATCCGGTCGCGTGGGGTGGGTCATATGACCTGTGGCCTCGTGTCTATTCCAGATATTTACTTTCATCCAGAATCGCCGGAGTAAGGTTCCCCATTATAGCTTGTGACTCAGCTTTACCTTGCAGGCGTAACTTACACCGTTCAGTAGTTCAAGTGATACTCCTCTCCTATCACCGCTCGTTGAGGTCTGGGGTGAACTAGGGAAGAGCCCGTATATCCCGCCACTGACGTTGAACCCAACAAGATGTAGCTATCGCTGCAACTCCGCGATGACCGTATTCTAATGTCACATCTCGGATTTTCAAAGTACGACGATCCGTACTAAAGCTGACCTTGCTACTAATAGGCTTTTTTAGGAAGCTTCCGATTGCATGACTGATGACGTCTATCCCCTCCTCTCGAATCTTAGTCTCTCTTCAGAACCTAACAGACCTATTTCTTCTTTCGGAGCTACGACATCCTCGGCTCCGAGAAATGATCGATGACATGTCTGCAGACCCCTCACGCAAACGTATAAAAGATACTGGAGGCCTTTAAGTAGTGCTATTAATCACCAACATTCCATGTGTCATCCATGATACAGTACCGTAAAGTTCGTTTCCTACACGAGGACCTCCAAGACGGCAACATGGACGGCGTCCGTACCGACACACACCTCGTTCGTGACTTTGAGCGGGTGCGACGCAGCGATGGCTGCCTCGTTGGCGGTAAAAATTCCTCCCTAGGGGAGATGATCGGAGCTCTCTCAGCCAAAGGGATTACCGTACCTCCCGGCTTCGCAACCACGTCCCATGCATACTGGCACTACATCAACACCAATGAGATCCGGAAGCACCTAGCCGAGCTCATAGCAGACTGGGAATCAGGAAAGGCCCACCTCGCCGAGACTGGTCGAGCAATACGAAAGCTATTCATTCGAGGTAGCTGGCCACCCGATATTGAGACAGCCATCCGCGCCGCATACCGCAGGCTTTGCACCAAAGCAGGCGTCGAAAACATCAGCGTGGCAGTTCGGTCCAGCGCTACAGCCGAGGACCTCCCGGACGCCAGCTTCGCCGGACAGCAGGAATCCTACCTCAACATCGTGGGCGAAGACGCCCTCCTGGAAGCCTGTCGACGATGCTACGCATCGCTCTTCACTGATCGAGCCATCAGTTACCGGCAAGCAAAGGGCTTCGATCACCTGCGCATCGCCCTGTCCGTCGGCGTGCAGTGCATGGTCCGCTCCGATGCCGGCGGCTCGGGGGTAATGTTTTCCATCGACACTGAGACAGGCTTCGACAATGTCGTCCTCATCAACGCAGCCTGGGGCCTGGGCGAGAACGTTGTCCAGGGCACTGTCGATCCAGATGAGTACCAAGTCTTCAAACCTCTCCTCTCAGATGGCTACGTCGTACCAATCATCGACAAAAAGCGCGGCGATAAATCCATCAAGATGATATATGGCAACGACCAGACTCCCACGAGGAACGTGCCAACCTCCAAAGCTGAACGCGCCTCATTGGTCCTCAGTGACACCGAAATTCTCCAACTCGCTCGATGGGCCTGTACCATCGAAACTCACTACGGCTGCCCAATGGACATGGAATGGGCCAAGGACGGTCTCACTAACCAGCTCTTCATAGTCCAAGCCCGACCTGAAACCGTCCACTCGCGCCGTGACGCAACCGCGGCCTTCAAGACATACAAGATTGGTCATAAGGGCTGCACCCTGACTACTGGACTAGCAGTCGGTGATGCCGCCGTCTCCGGTCGTCTCTGTCTGATCGAGTCCGCGCACGAGATGGACAAGTTCATCGACGGCTGCATTCTTGTCACTGCAACGACCGACCCAGACTGGGTGCCAATCATGAAGCGCGCCGCAGCAATTATTACCGACCACGGCGGCCGCACCTCTCATGCGGCTATTGTCAGTCGCGAACTCGGCGTCCCTGCCATCGTGGGCACTCATGATGCGACCTACGTGTTGCATTCGGGGCAAGACGTGACAGTCTCGTGTGCCGAAAGCGATCAAGGCTTCGTCTATGATGGCATTTCAGAGATTATCACTCAGACGGTAGACATGAGCGGACTCCTTGCCAGCCGAACAAAGGTGATGCTTAATCTGGCCAACCCGGCCGCCGCATACCGCTGGTGGCGACTCCCTGCCGATGGAATCGGCCTGGCGCGGATGGAGTTCGTAGTGACCAACGCCATTCGAGTTCATCCGATGGCGCTGGTGAATTTTGACCGGCTGCAGGATGTCCAGGCCAAGGCAGAGATTGATCGATTAACAACCGGGTACAAGCATAAGCCTGAGTACTTCGTAGACAAGCTGGCCCATGGCTTCGCGGCACTCTGCGCCGCGGTGTATCCTAAGCCGGCGATTCTGCGGATGAGTGACTTCAAGACGAACGAATATGCAAGACTAGTTGGGGGAAAGGAGTTCGAGCCTAAAGAGGAGAACCCGATGATCGGGTTCCGGGGGGCGTCGAGGTACTACTCGCCGCTGTATCGTGAGGGGTTTGCTTTGGAATGTCGTGCTATTCGGCGACTGCGTGAAGAGATGGGATTCACGAACGCAGTGGTGATGATTCCATTCTGCCGCACAGCAGGCGAAGCGGAAAAGGTGTTGCAGGTTCTTGCTGATAATGGGTTGCACCGGGGAGAGCATGGACTGCAGGTGTATGTAATGTGTGAGATTCCGTCGAATGTGGTTCTGGCAGACCAGTTTGCGGCTCATTTCGATGGGTTCTCGATCGGCTCAAATGATCTAACGCAGCTGACGCTAGGAATCGATCGCGATTCAGACGAGCTGGCGAATCTCTTTGACGAGCAGGATGAGGCAGTTGAATCGCTGATTGCGCAGGTCATACGGGTGGCGCGCAGGGCTGGTTGCAAGGTGGGCATCTGTGGACAGGCACCGAGCGATCATCCTGATTTCGCGCGCTTCTTGATCGAGGCAGGAATTGATTCCATCTCGGTGATTCCTGATAGTTTTGTGAAGGTGAAGCAGCATGTGGTAGCCAGTGAGTCGAGGAGGGAAATTGAGAAACAGAAGGATGATAAGTCTGATACATGTGATTTATGGTGACACAAAAACATTAATTCGTTACATGAATTTGTTAGCCTATATCAGAAAATTCTCTTCTACCTAAGCCATTCCCCGATCGCCTTGCGATGACTTAATTTTCACGCTTCATTTTCCTTAACCCTTTCCACTATCACGTTCAAACTCTTGACTCCCAACTCAACCGCCTCTCTTTCCCCAGTGCTCAAGTCCAATCCCACCTCCTCCACCACCCCCTCTCTCCCTACCACAACCGGCCAGGAACAACAACATTTCCAATTCTCCCTCCAACAGCTCACCGTCCATACCCTTCTGTCATCTCCCACCATTGCAGCTGCAACACTCCCAGCTACGGCCCCAATTCCCCACGGCGCACCTCCTTTCCCAGCAATAATAGCCTTTGATTTCCGCCGAATCTTACTCTCCACCTCCAATTTTTTCTGGATCGAATTTTCATCCCCTCCATAGGGATACAGTAACCCAGGGCACATCACAACCTGACTCTCATTCCCCTGTACACCAATTACATACCCTTCTGTCTCTTCCATCTTGGTCCCCAGGATACGGGATACCTCACCTCGTAGTCTTAGGGAATCCAAGCACGTCCCTGTCCCGATGACTTGTTTACGGGGCAGACCAGCAATATCCTGCGCCAGAGTGGTCAGTAAGTCGACGGGGTTAGCAACCACCAGGATAACGGTATGTGGGGAAAATGGGCGCATTTCGTTGAGGATGCTTTTCAGGATACTGAATTTGTGATAGAGGTGTTGGAGAGTGGTTTCTCCTATTCATTGTATTCATCCTCATTAGCCGGGATCTCTACCTTTGCCGTTACAAAATTCCCATTCTAAGCATGGAATTGAAGGGGTTAAGGTTGTACCAGGCGTATATCTCGCTCCCGCAGTGATAATCACCACGTCTGCTTGACTCGCCTCGCGATGCGTGGCTGCGTGAACTTGTGTCACGGAACCGTGAACGAGTGCCGCGTCAGAGAGATCGTTGACTTGGGCATCACGGAGGGTGGATTTGATGTCCACGAGGAGAAGGGTTGCAGGTATGTGTTGGTGGATTATAGAGAGAGCTGTTGAAGCACCCACGGAGCCAAGGCCAATCAGGGCAATTGTCGGCATTATGGCGTTTTCTTTCTGTTGCTGTTCTTCTTGATATTTGTGGCGCCAAGGTATGATTCGGCTTCTGATTAGAGCGTTTACAGATTGTTCGACATGCGAAGTGAGCCGTGAGGGTGGATTAAATATCGGGTCAGTGAGGAGAGCTCGTGTTGCGGTGCCATGGTTGCTCTATCCCCCACTTACACGGGTAGGGTTACATGTAAGCATTCCATCGTCATCATAGACAAATAACAAATGTCTTTAACTTTACGAGCTTTGTCTAGAATCTGCAAAGTGAAGTACGCCACTTCCGGCCTAGCTCCACCAAGTACAAGTATTCCGGCTCACTCGGCTCGGGACTAGCCAGTCATGGCTTGTGGCGCATGGTAAGCCACGATATCCCTCTGGGTATGCAGTTAAAGATTAGAGTCAGTTTAGAAGTGAAAAGTTGTTCTTTCTTGAGAACATCTGAGTTTTGGACTTAGCGTTGCTTCAGCGAGGATATTCCCATAGTATATAATATGTATACATCAATTGGAAAGGCCGATTGAGGTTGCTTTTGCTGGCATACGTGTTTTGAGTTGGGCTAAAGAAGAGCGCAATACAGATACACTTCAAAGCCCACGTACCAATTTTTTGTAGTCTTTACGTGAAGTATGAGTAAATTATCTGAATATTACAAGCTGAACAACACTTTAACCCTGGTACAGTTAAGCTAATATGTTGATTCTTAGCGCCCGGCTCGTGTCTGCTAGTATATCGCTGTGGCAATCGAATGGGTGGTTTGCTATCACCTGAGATGTCAGTGATCACGTATGACAAACTTGATCAGGGTGATAGAGCGCACATAGGAATGACCAATACAGGAGGCCTGAGCTCCGCTTTTCTCTCAACAGCCCGACCTTTATCTACGCAGCCGCCACCCCTGTATATATATTGTGGTAGTCACGTCAAAAGTCGGTATAGTGCACCACTATGTTGCCGGTCTGTTCTATCTATGCATTGTGATAGACTGGACAGGCCATATCTCTGGATACCTTAGCAGAAGAACACCTGGGTTTGACTGTAATGGTTGGAATTTCTGCCAATCCTTGTTGTCATGCGCAGTTCCGCTGATATGGTCAGTAAACAGAAAAGAGTATACTTACCAAGCCTACCTTCAAAGAATTGCTAAACTTATAGAGAGAAGGAATGAATGCAAGAGGCCATGTTGAGTTGTCATAAATTAAGATTTAATAAATGACTAATATACAGAAGATTCTCTCAAGCTAATTCATAATTAGACAGCATTTCTATTACCTGTGTTATAGCCCGCCTCTTCTCAGGCCAGTGTATAAATATCTTTATCTGAGACTTAAATTTATCCTTCTAAGACAGTTTTGATGCCAGATATAACCAGCTGACTGTATTCCAGATAGTAATATACTTATCAGAAAGTGTTTTTAATGCAGGTGTTGTCTTGTACTAGGAAAGCTTCTTATTTTAAAGATATAAAAAAGATACTGAGCTATAGCAGTCTTATTTCTTCTGTTAATTAGTATAATATAGACTGATCCCTGTATAAAAGAGAGCAACTTTATATCTCTGATAATAATAAATAATATTTTCTTTTAAATGGCTCTGAGGAGTATTTCAGGGATTTTATATAATATAAAGAGGTGTACAAGTGCTCTTGTATTAAAAAAAGAATTAGAATAGATATAATAGAATAATCTAGCTATCAGGAGTAAGGCCATCAGAATGATATATATATTATAATAATTATAAGAGTCTATAGAGAAAATCTTGTTAACAGAACAACAGTCAAATGATATCTGATAAGTTTATAAATAATATTATTTAATAATATTCTATACAGGAAATATAATAATACAATTTTGTTATAGGATCTACATGTCAGGGTAGAAAACCTGTTGATTAAGTAAAGAATTGATTATTAAATACTATAGATTTATCTGATAATAACAACGGTAGTTTATATACATGGAATGGACTGATTCTTAAGAAATTAATAATTTATTATAAAGAAATCAGTATTTTATTTTAGTAGGGAGATCTTTATAACAGGACAACAGTTAAATTATATCTGATAAATTTATAAATAGTATTATTAAATAGAGCTTTTCACAGGAAATATAATAATATAATTTTTATTCTTTCAATTTATTATTCTGTAGAGTTATAAGTATTTAAAAATAATAATATTTTCTTCTGAATATGATTAGTATATATAATAGAAATTTAATTAAATTAATCTAGTAGAGAAATCTTCACAACAGGACAACAGTCAAATGATATCTAATAAAATTATAAATAATATTATTTAATAAAACTCTTTATAAGAAATATAATAATATAACTTTTATTTCTTTAATTAATTGTTCTGTGGAGCTATAAGAATTTAAAAATAAAAATATTCTCTTTTAAATATAATTAATATATATAATAGAAATTTAATTAGGTTAATATATATAATAGAAATTAAAATTAGATTATTATTTTTTTTACAGATCCTAAGTCTAAATAAGTCTATTAAATATTATAAAAATAAATATTATAATAATAAGTATTACCCCAATAAGTATTATATAAAATAATATATTAATATTTTTATAATAAATCTTAAAGTAAGAGGTTATTTGTGGGCAGCCTGAGTATTTAATATATAATTATATTTATTCCAGCAGTTATCTTAATATTTAGTATTATTTATTTTATTTAGATTATATATTTTCAAGAAGTATTTTTTATAAGAATATTAATACCTGATAGTCTATATATATACTTATAGTTATTTATAAGAAAGTAGAGATTATATACTAGATAATAAGTTATAAAAATAATAATAATATTAAAATAAAATAAAATAATTTAAAAATAATATTATATTAATATATTTACACCTGCGTGATTCTATTAAGCTAGTAGATAATAAAAAAAATAATATTATATTTAATAGTTTTATTACAGTTCTTATATATAAGTAGTATTCTTTCTGTAAGAAATATAATAAAAATTAATAAATAAACTAGTATTATATTTATTTATAATATTATTCTTTTTAATATATCTTATTCTCTCACCCCTCTGTATAACTGGTAAGATAAAAAAAAATTATAAAAGAAAAAAAAAAGAAGAAAGATAATTTTATTATTATATTTTAATTTCTATGATTCTGTTAAGTAAATAGATAATAAAATAAATAATAATATATTTATAATAATAAAAGTCTTTTTTTTATCTCTGTAATTACTGCAGGGAATAAAGAATAAAATAAAGATTAAAAAATAAGTAGATATTATATTTACCTGTAATATTATTCTTTTTAATATATTTTATTTTTTATATTTCTATATAGTTAGTGAGGTAGAAAGAAAAAAGATTATAAAAAAAAAGAAAAATAAATTAATTCTATTATTATATTTAAATTTCTGTGATTTCTGTAGGAAATAAATAATAGAATAAAAGATAATATTCTTATAATACTAGAATTCTTTCTCAGGGAATAGATAGTTGAGTAGATAACAATATTTTTATAATATTAGAAATTTTTTTTAAAAAATAGATAATTAAGCAGGTAGTAATATTCTTATATTATTAAAATTTTTTCTTAAAGAATAAATAATTAAACAGATAATAATATTCTTATAATACTGGAAATTCTTTTTAAAAAATAGATAATTAAGCAGATAGCAGTATTTTTATAATATTAGAAATCCTTATATTTAGAGATCTTCTAGCTGTTTGGTATATTTTATTAGCTTATTTTTTTATAAAATTACTGAGCTTGTATTTTAATAATTTTCTTTAAATTTTTATAATTTTTATAATAAATAAATAGTTAAATAGGACTTAGAAAGTAAATATATATTATATTTATTTATAATACTATTTTTCTTAGTATATCTTATTCTC